AGGAGATCGGGCTGAAACTATAGCTACAAGCTATCCAAGGATGGTACTATAGAATGTCACCTCAAGGTAGGCCTAGTGGCGTCATCTCTTGGTTAGGCCGGAAACTTATCAATCCACCCTCGTAATGTACGGGTGGCAACCCTAGGTATTACTGTATGTAATTTTTAAAAAATTGTAATACAATATTAATATCTTTAATATTGTAGCTACTTATCAGAATATGACTAATTGTAAGTAAAAAGATTATACCTTAAAAAATTTTACAATTACTCTGGAAGAAATCCCAAATCAGACTGAAACGTTGGGAAGTATATATTTGCCTGCATTAGTTCTGAGTGGTTTACTTTCGAAATATACCACATAATCTAAATAGTATGGTGTTTACCATACACACAATTGTCATTAAGGTAAATAATAGAAATACATTTGTATATTGGGTGACAGGAAATTGCTCTTATTCTTCTAAAGAGAAGAAACTATCACTAATTTGGAATGCTTACAGACTGTACACTTAGGGTCGCAAATGCGTCATTTTTGAGAAAATATACTTAAAATTTTTGTTTTACTTTTTTATTATTGTGAGCTTAATACACAACATAAAATCTAATAGTAAATTTCGTGGTTTTTAGTTTTAAGGAAAGGTTAGCCGAATAGTAAGGTATCAGACCTATGGAAAAATTCATGCCAAAAAAAGTGAGAATTTTTATTTTAAATTTTTAACTCCCAAAATTTAAATTTTTGTAACAACAAAACTGAAGAAACGCATTTCTGACCCTCAAATGATAGGGGTTAAATCATTCTATAATTTGTTAGTTTCTTCTCTCGAGAAGAATACGAGCAATTTTCTATCACCCTGTAGATATATATGAAAATCTAACGTTGAGAGTAATATTGAGAAAACTTCAAGAAATCAAGTATTTATGGCTAGGTGGGTAAGTACACTATAAAAAGTTGCCATTTGGATTTTAATATAAAATGTTATTAACAAATGCAGTTATGCATTAATATTAAGGTAATTACGTAATCAATGCAACAAAATAACATTGGAGTTATAATTAAGTACATTATTTAAAATTTCTGTATGCACATCGTAATTTTATTGCGCCTTTTTACATTAATCTCATTGTGAATTAATGTAAAGTAAATTATTATTGGCAGTGTTATATTTAGGTACATAAATAAAGCTTTTGTAAAATATACAGACATTTAAATAAATATTGGTAAATTAATCTATAATAATCATCGTTTAATACATGTTGTGAATCATGCATCAGCGTCAGAGTCGACATTTAACGCTAGTTAGTTTCTCGATTTTTTTTTTAACAGAAAAAAAGTCGCATCGCAACAAGCGGTACAATAATCTGTAAAAGGCACGGAACGCGTTGCCGTCGTTGTTCACCTGGGCGACTGCACTGATGGCGGCGATCATTTTCATAATTCATAATTTCATTAATTTGTTACTCGGGGCTTTGTCACGATTTTATGTGGAATATTATCAGGTTACTAAAGGCTGCATTATCTCAGTAATTATTGATGAGCCTAAAGGTTTTCGCGGCGTATATAATGAACGGTTAATTATTAAAAACTCCTTTATGGAGAAAATGATGCAAATCGCGAACACAGTTTAAAGACGAGGCATCGTCGACGAACCTCTTCGCGGTATGTAGATAATTGCGACCCCGGAATCAGGTCGGTCGAGAAACAAGGGTAATTAAAGGCGAACGGAATTTCGACCGTCAATTCGCAACCGATATCCAAGGACATTAACTTACTTACCAGACAATTTTAATACACATTTAAAAAGTAAAATAAAGTTCTCTCTACAAAGCGTTGAACTAATGTTTTTCATACTTCATCATTATCATAAGGCTGTCAGTCTGGTTGGCCACGCACCTACACTCCTTCCTATCCTGAGCTAATAATCTTCGCATTTCGCCAAACCTAGAACAATCCAAAACATTAACAATTTGCGAACAGTAATCTAATCTAGGTCTACCTCTACCCCTCCTAACTCCTGTTTTTGCCTCTAATATGTCTCTGACTAGAACTTCATGCCTAAGAAGGTGTCCTACCAACCTATCTCGCCTATTTTTTATTGACTTCCATAGAGTCCTCTGTTCTCCTATTCTTTCTAATACCTCTTCATTTCTAACCTTTTCTACCCANGCGATCACAGGCAAACTTGTAACTACGCCAGCGACCAACTATTTGTTGTTAGAATGTGAACCCAGCTGGTCGAAGACGGGGACGTCTATTATGACGGTCATTCGTCGGTGGATCGTGATCTATGATTGAATAAATGCCAAGTCGTAGCACTCCGATCGATCATGCAGCACTTATCAATGTTTATGAAAAAGCGACTCGTAATTATGCCCATTTCGGAATCCTACACGCGCACTGTAATTATTATAAATGGTCGCGGATGCAAAAACGCCGGCGTCGCCATCGCCAGCCACCTCGGATCGCATCGCATCGCATCGGAGTTAGTGAGTGCGGCAGTATGTGCCTACCTATTCTGCAACGACGACGCTTGCTGCTATCAGACTTCTTCGCCGCGTTTCATATTTGTCTCTCTTTTAGCCGTAGTCGGTGGAATGTTAACAAAGACAATTAATGATCGCACTGGCAAAGGAATTTTATTAGATTTAAGCGCCATAGGTTCCGACCATTACAAAACAGATTAAACTATTGTCATTAACGCATTTTTCGCATAAAATTCTCTACCGGTTGCAATCCCCTAATTAGCAGAACACATTGAAAGTTCACGAGAATCTTCTATAAATTGATGACTTCTTCTTCCTATTAACCTCAGATTAGCTTCTTACAGTACATACAAATAAGAAATAGCCTAACTACAAAATTACGTGGAAGTCTAATGAAATGATTTCATTTCTTTATAATTGATAGGATTCTAAAAGAAAGAATGACGATCCACTTTTCATCAATCAAAAGATAAACTATTTATTAAAATATTAAACTATAATAAATGCATATGAAGCTTTAAAAGTCGTTGAAGTATTATCTATTTTTGCAGGTTGGGCTATTTCCTTCAACCTCTTTAGCTGCCCCTCTGGTAAGTAACTGTACATGTTTGTATTGATAGTTTGCTATTGTCATCTTAAATATACAAAACGACTCATCTGCGGGATGGAGTGCGTGAAGAAAAAATTTCATCTCTTATTTCTATATAGGAGAAGGTATACAAACAAAACGAAAAAAAAAAAGATTAAATAGGAAATAAGTTGATATCACAAAACAGGCTTCAGACAGTTGCGCACCCTGGTCAAATAAACCAGTGGCCTAGCAATCGGTGAGCGTAGGAACGTGAAGCGCTAGGGACCAGGAGTCTTGGGAGGCCCCAAAACCTCATTGAAATTTTTTTTTTGGCTAGAGAAAAATAATATATGCATTTTAAATCTGTAATATTTTCGAAAATATTCATTTCAATTACATGCTATATAGGGCCGTGTTAATCTATATTAAATGCACAATGATCTAAGGTACTTAATTGGATAAGGGTTAATGTTGTATTGCTTAAAATCACTTCGTAAATAAGCCATTATTTCTCGTAAAAAGTAAAGGGTAAAAAATAGTTATTTTGGGTTATTCCTAAGGGATAGACATATACCATCGCGGACAATTCTCGTAGACCTCTTTAAGGTTTGATTTATTTTGATATATCTCGTAGGGTTCAGCCAGTGTTTGCCATGTAAGTGTCTTCATTTACGACATCACATTAGAAACTTCTGAAATTATCAGTATTTCTCTACTACATTATGCATGTATTATACATATAAACCTTTCCCTTGAATCACTCTATCTATTAAAAAGAAACCTCATCATAATCTGTTGCGTAGTTTTAAAGATCTAAACATATATGGGGACAGATAGCGGGAAGCGAATTTGTTTTATACTGTGTAGTGAAGTGAAACCTAAATGTAGGTAATATGTACATGAATAGTATATTTAAATATTTTTTAAATCGCATGCCTTAATGAATTATTATCACTATTACTTCGGTAATGTAGATTGGTATGTGCGAAGAAATTAAAGCCAGTTGGCTTACAGCTATACGAATTAATTCGCGAAAAGAGAAACAACCCGAATATAATTCGACAGTTAGTCTCCGCAGTAATATTATACAAACAAAAAATCCAATTAAAAGCCGAAATTAAATTCAAGGAACGTTTTAGCACGAGCATCTGAAATCGCATAAAAATCATCCGTGCGCGTGACACTTTATTAGGTAAATTGAATTACCGGGCGAAAATCGTCTCTAAGGCGTTCGCCTGTAGCGGCCGGAATTCCCCGAAAAAACCGTCCCTCTCTGACTTTTTAAATTGCATCATGTAATTTCTACTCAAGTATAAATGAGGTTTTTTAATTGGAAATCCGAGTCGGGGTTGCGAACTCGCGTAAGCGATTTATTTTAATGAGAATATCTGTTTCGTGCAGTATTCCACAATTTCTTTTTACCTTAAAACTCGAGCAGAATGGCTCTCAACATCACTAAACCCAAACCCTCCTAATTCTTCTACTTTATTGCTATTGAATTTTTAAAGGACCATTTATCCTTAATTACAAAACACCCAAATAAGGAAACAAAACAAATAATTTAAATATCTACCAACACATAAACATTAGAACAACAAATAACTACAGGCGGTATGATGAACGCATATATGCGCTATTAATTGTACTTTGTTAGTGTTTGACCAAAAAGTCCTTCTGAATTAATGATATCGCCTTGTCAAACCGAATCTATGGGGTAACAGTCTACTCAGTAGGTAAGTTTTGGGATCCGTCAAATGGGCGTACACCATCTGGTGGCAAAATTTATAACTCGAATGAGGGAAAAATTTACATAGGAACTGTGCGCCCAAATTGTAAAATTGTTTATTAAAATAATAAAACACGTTAAAAAAGTAAAAATTTTTTTGATGATGGAGTCGACGAAGTTTTCTTCTAAAGTTAAATCAAATAAAAAGTTAATATGTTCAGTGAAAAGCTGCAATAGCACTTCAGACATAGATCTTCACTCTTCACCTACATTAACTACTTTCCAATAAAAACTAACCGTTTTATATATGTAAAAAATATATTCGGAAAATTAGAGAAAAAA